TGCAACTGAGCCCTGCTGACACACACCGTTTTCCTCCTTTGCCTCTAACTGCTGGTTTTGCAACTGCCAACCCTGCAATTAATCCTGTGAACATTAAATTGAAAGCTTTGAATATCTTCCTCTAGCTCCCTTATCTTGCTTCATTTTTCTCTACAGCATTTAGTGTCACCCAATGATTATTTTTATTTATTGGTTGAATGTCCCTCACAAGAATTAAACTCCATTGGAAGAAAGGCTCTATTCACTTCTGTACAACTCTCTGACAATTAGAATAGTACTGACAAATAGTGGGAATTTAGCGGTGTTGAATGAATGAAATCTACTTTTCTTAATAAAATACTCCTACTAAATTAATGCATTCGTAATAGAATCATCAATAATATTCCCTCAATAACATCTCCTCATGAAGCTTTCATTTGGATTTTTAACATTCTCAAGAGAGCATAAAATGGCATGCATCCCCTAATCTCAGCTTTATATTTAGGGCTGCCAACTCCTTCACGTTTGCCTGAACTGCTCCAGGTTTCAGCACTATAGTCCCACATCCTAACAATATCTCGGTCCTGGGAAGATCAAGATATTGGTCACCTGAATAAAATCATGAGCTATGAATCATGAGGAAGGCCCTTAGAATTCTATTAATTTTAATCAATCTTGCAAATAAATGCTTGAAAACATGAATCTGTGCAGCCTATGGCTTGTTTCCCTTACCACCATCATGTTGAATGTGATACATGCAACCACAGGTAAAATGTGAGCAATGGCTTTCTGTAGTCTGCATTTTTTATACTAAAATCCTCATTTGCACAGACAATGAATATTTTAAAGCTGAGCCAGTGAAATCTTGCCTATATCTCATAGTTCCATTAAATATATATGACACATGGTCTTCCCAAAGAAAAGATACTGCAGGGCTGGGGATTTAGCTCAGTGGTTCTGGTGCCTGCTGCGCAAGCACAAGGTCCTAAGTTCGATCCCCAGTACCAAAAAAAAAAAAAAGAAAAGAAAAGATACTGCACATAAAGGTGACATCCAGAGTCACTGCACTGGAGAAGTACTGTTGGAAGACAGAGTAGTGAACTCTGCAGAGAAAATCTGTCAGTGTTAATTCTAGGAATGAGTACAGGCTTGCTCATCACTAACCATAAGGAAATCACCCCTGCCTAGCTGCTAATATCATCCTGAAACTTCCGGCAGTATGTCTCACTGTAGCACGTGGATTCAAAATGTCAACACCTTTGAACTGGTACATTAGAGAATAATAATTTGGAGAATAAGAGCACTTTCAGATATAAGACCCAAGCTTTTGGCAGATGGAATATCTTGGGTAGTCTTGTACTCTGATGATTCATGGGGACAGATATTTGGGTATTCAGATGTTAAAACATTCTTCTCAACCAAAACTGCAACCTAGCAATGCTATTACTCTGAATTTTTCTTTTTTTTGCACCTGCAAAAATAGTTGTGTTGCTAAAACCTTTTTCATGACAAGGCTGTAGCATGTGACAGTGGCGTTCCTCTAGCAGAGAACAGAACAGAATGGGTTAACTGAGCATCAGTTGCACAATCCCAGCCCAATACATTCCACAGCACCAGCAGTCTCTGTCTGAACATGTTTATAAAGCAGATACAGAGAATCAGACCAAACCCTCAAGGGCAACTTGCTTAGAGGAACAAAGCACACAAACTGCTTTTCTTCTGATGAAATTTGGACAAAGGCCTCAGCACATGCTCTTGTTAGACTATGTGAAGGCTGCAGTGTCCCACATCTTGATTCTTCCATGCAGCATGACCCAGGCTCTTGGCCAGACTTAACATTTTTGCTAAAACCAGCTATTAGGCCTGACCACTTCCTTCCAGGCACTATTTTCAGAAGCAGAGGGACAGTGGCTCTGCACCTGTTGTTAGGTCTTGTGGCCGCTAACCTCTGTGGATCCCTCACTTGTCCTCACAGCAGAGCCAGAAATGCCCAGTCCTGGACAAGGGATGGTACCAATGTCCACGGGGGTCGATGGGGGCCCAGAGGCCAGGCAGCCTCCAGAGGGCACATCTCACCCACCATCATCCTGCATCTGCTGACCTGAAGCTTCGCACAGCCAGGACTCCCCTCCTCAGGTCTGCAGCTGCCTCATTGCTAAAAGGCACAGCTGAAGCCCACAACCCTGTTCTCTTGACAGTGGGGATGGTGGAGCTCAGAGGAGATCCTGGGAGTGACTGGCTAACAGGGACCTCACCTTGTTCTACCCATTGGGATGTGAATGTGGTTGAGACACCACCTGAAGAAGCTTACAGTCCCGTGGGAGATGGGAAGACCTATAATACCTTAGGGCGTGGTCCCTCCTGGACACAGAGGGAGAACTGCTCCCACAGCCCCAGGCAGGTCAAGTTCCTGTCCCCTGGATGATCATCCTGGCCCTGGGGATGCCATGGGATGGAGTTTCAGGATGAGGCAGGTGGCTCAACGTCACTGGCTAAAAACCAGTTTCTGCTTCTATTCTCTTTCCTAACCAAAAGTGGTGCTGAGACATTGGATATCCGACCTCTGCATGCCAGGGACACATCTTGGCTATCTCATTTGCCAATCTTTTCCTAGGCTTTTGTTTTTCTTCAGTAGAAATTTGGCAGAAGAGTGGGGTTCTTATTTCCCTCCTTTTATGTGGGTCTGTTTGTCCAAAGCTAGAATAACAGGGGGCTTTCAAAGCCAAATGAATTCAGCACTCAAAGAATGGCCTCAAGCACATGGAGAGTCTAATGTTCCATCGCTCAGATTTAGGGGCAGGAAGCCATTCAGGGCTTAGCACTTTTTCATTCACATGCAAAGTACTTCTAAAAGCAAAAATCTGAAGATTCAGAATCCTGAAACCAAATCAGTGATCTTCCTCATTCCTAAAATTTCTATCTCAGTGGTGGCTAAAGGATAGTAGACTACATTGTGCATTTGGGCGGGGATATTATTTTAAGATTGTGATGTCCAAAGAATTTGTATTTCTTACCCATCCAAGTATATTTCTTCTTCTCTATAAATATGTTCAAATAGACTAAACACTGCTTTTGGCAGTTACTTCATCTAAACATTATACTTTGGTTGAGTATGAATTTATTTAGATTTGCAAATGGCTTTCTGGGAGCCCTTGGTATCCAGGTGTATTGTATATGTTGGGTTCTCCCAACCTTATGGCTGAGTAGAAGCGCCTGTCACTAGATTCACAGTTTACAACTGTACAAAGAGCTTTGTTATCAAGGGAGTGACCTAGGTACTGGCTGCAGAGAATGGAAACAATTGTTCCAAGGGCAGTTACACTGAACTTGCTACTTAAATGCAACATACAGCCAAACCCATCATAAAGCCTTATCAACTCCTACAGATGCCAACCAAGTGAAGCACTTGTCCCTTAGTACTTCCTCTAAGTGACAAGGTCTGGGGCTCGAATTTATGAGATGCCCATTATGTGTTTTTCTTTGTTATGTGGACCCTAGGCATTGGATAACTAACTTACTTTCTTATATTAATGGCAAGTATCATGTAGAAACAAAGCAACCTTTCTCAGAAAATATTTCAAGCATGCTTCTATTTTTTCATGACCTTATTGACATTGTTGTATTATCTTTAGCACTTAAATCATGTCTCCAAATCCTGAATTTTCAACCATCAGGTGAGGTTCAGTCTGTTTCCCACCACAAAAGTGGTAAAGGGTAGTGACATGGGGTTTGAGAAGAGGGTAGAGGCAGAGTCACCCTAAACCCTTTCATCACCAGGTCATGTGATTCAGGACCAGTTTCTTTTAGTTTTCTTTCAAATTTACTTAAAAACAGGATGACTAAGGCTGGGGATTTAGCTTAGTGGTTCTGTCGCTTGCCTAGCAAGCACAAGGACCTGAGTTCGATCCCCGGTACCAAAAAAAAAAAAAACAAAAACAAAACAGGATGACTGAATGACAGGATTCTGATATGTCACAAAGAAATGAACTCATCTACTTAGGTCCTTATGGCTCTTCCTTTCATTAAGAAGCTGACATAAATACCTTCTCCAAAAGTGGTCCCCACAAAAACAGTCTACAAGCCACAGATGGCATTTCGGCTCCAATGCACCCACCAGTAACTGCATCAGTGGCTATCTGTTCTGGGTGGGGAATTTTATGACTGCTAATTATATCTGCAGCCACACATGGAGAGATAGGCATAAAAATAGCCCTTTGTCCTTTCATAAATTGAAGGAACCTTTTCAAATATTAACTTACCAATCTACTCAGAATGCCCCAGAGATGATAGGTAGGCAGCAGAGTTTTAGTACTATCCTGAGAAGCGTGAGAGATTAAGGCACTGGTTTTCTCAAGGTCAGGTACACACCTTGAAATACCAAATGAGTGACAGGGACTCTTCCTTGTGAAGTCCTATGGCTCATTTCAAGATATACCCTAAGTTTTGAAAGCAGGGCCTCCATCTAGGTCTTGGAAAGAAGATTAACAGACAAGGAGTCAGAACCTAACAACTATTTCCTGTTATTGAAAATGCCCTATCCATGCACCTGGCATGAGACATAAATACAAAACCTCAGCCATACACACAGTCTATGGATAAGCACAGGAAAAATAGAGGTGGGTGCAATCTATTCACAGTGAGGTGGTCGAACATACTCCCTCCACAGTCCTGCCACACATGGGTTCCACTTTCAACATCCCTGACTCTCACTCTTTAGGTGACTTGAGCAAAGGCATTTTCACTCCAGGTCCCACTTCTTCTGTGTGAAATAGGGATAAATCCCTATTCCAGCACAGTTTAATGAGCAAAGAAAGTAACTCAGGTAAGACATTCAGCATGGCACCTAGTACTGGGTGGCTGTTCACCAGGGGAAGTCACCTGTCACCTCACAGTGGGAGTCTCCAGGGTTTCTTGTGATCAGCAAGAGAATGTTTTGGTCCCCAAGAAGAAATGATATTTTGTCAGACCTGCCCCATGACTGTGCTCTAAGCAGACAGAGACAAAGCCAGGAGTGATGCCCGTTAAAAATTTAACTATATATCATATTCATTTATTATCAATCCACAGGATAATTTGATTGCTACATGAGCTCATAAAAGCTTTTCTCACCTTTACAAAATTAAAAAAAAATGTGCCACAAGGATGTAATAACAACTGCTGATAAACAAGAAAAGGAATCTTAAAATTATAAATTTGCTGTAGAAAAGATAAAAAACAATTATATTTTATTTAGAATTTTACCTTGAATAAAATATTCCCTGTATAAAAAATAAAAAAGCTTGCTCTGGTTAGAATTAGAGTATTTTCATCTTCAAATCTGGGAATTTGCATAATATTTCCATGATAGTTTTCCTTTGTACCGCGTGGCATTCAAGCATAGCAGATTAGACTTTTTTTTCCCCAAGCAGTCTTAAAATGGGACATCTGTGGAAAAGTTCATTTTCTTCTTCTCCTCCTCCAGGATGCAGAGCACAGCCTTTGAGGGGAGGAAAAGGAGGAAAGGAACTGGCTGGGAGAGGGTGGGAGGCAGGGTAACAGGGAAATAAGGGGGTATTGTATGTGCTGTGAAATAGAGCAAGATCACAAGAAGGCCTAAGTGCTTTAAGATAAGGTGCAGAAGCAGACTGCAGTGTTGCTAGTACTGCCCTATGTACATATTCACAAGAATAAAAAATTCCAGCTAGTTCACATTTTCTCGTCCATTCTGAGGCATCCACTCCACCATGCTGGCCTTGACCATAGGCAATGCAGCACCTCCACTGCCCATGTGGCTGTTGGTCCTTGAACTTGAGGGAGTAGCCCTGGGAGATCCAGCAGGCTCTAGAGATACGTGTCTACCAAGGGGCTGGAGTCCTGAGTTAAAAAGAAGCTCCAGTACTGGAGTTGGACACAGCAATCAATGTTCTATTGTCAAGGCTTTTCCCCTTAGATTTGTCTAAAATAGGTGTAAGAGAAAAAATAAAATACAAACAATAATACAAAGCCAAGAATTCCCAACAACCACTAGGGAGGGTCAAAGGCTTAGCAGCTTTTGACTCGGGGCTGGGTGATATCTGACGTCTTCTTGATGACACTGGCCCGAGTCTCCCTGTCTGGCCGACTGCTGCTGGGCATGGGGGTCACGGAGGCAGGAAGAGAGAGGTCTGAAAGCATGGGCCAGGAGGTGCTGTAAGGCATTGGAGAACTCTCCTCCTTGATGGTAACCTGGAGATCAGGCTTGTTGGAAGTGACGAAGGTCACCATGCCGGGCAGCGGGTAGGTCCCCATGTTGCTGAGGTACTGTTTGCCTTCGATGTTCCTCTTCCGCCAGTGTGGTCTCCCCTTTCAAAGAAAACAATAAAATACATATGTTCTTTTTCCTCCATCAAATGGCTTTTTGAAAATGTGCCCCTGCTCTCATGTGTGGGTGTTTGAAATGAATGTTTTAAGAATTGTAGAATGAAGAAAAGCTTCACAACTCTGTATCATTGAACTAAAATCTATACCCAGATCTTCACACCCCAAGCAATGGTTTCTCTTTTCTTTCTTTTTTTTTAACCAATTCCTATTTGCTACCTCCCAGAAATATGGCCAAGACTATCCCACGAAGGCAGGAAAAGATGGTGGCAACTTGTTTTAAAGAAGGGAACCTATTTCCGGCTCCCATACACCACCCAGGCCGATCATTCACTAGGTTTCAGGCCATGATGGACAGTTTGCTATGGTTCCCTGGTTCCTCACTGCTGACCCTGTTAGATCTTTGGGTCCACCTGTATTTTCAGAGCAAGGGAAGTGAGGAACTTAAGAACACACGGTGAATGTCCCCTTACTGCTTTCAAATAGGTACAGCTTGGAGGTTCAGTATGCTTGGCAAACAGCTGGCCTCAAGGCAAAGCTAGCTTCAGTCAGAGGAGCTGGACTTTGAGCTTAAAGAAACCAGTGTGGACACCTACTTTCTTCTCAGGATTCTTGCACTCTACTGCTAAATGTTGAGGACAATGGGAAATCACGAATTCAAACAATCATTAACTTTTCTCCCCCTCTCCCTCACTCCCATTTCTGTCTTCCTCTCACCCCCTTCTCTCTGTCCATCACCATTACAATCACTTCCTGCCATTCTGTGAGTCCACTGTACGAGAGGGAAGTTGGGAAGCCAGAAGTAGGCAGAAGGGGAATTGAGATTGGACACACACAGCAGTCTCTGGGTAGGAAGGATCACACTGGGAGAACCAGTGTGTATGTGGAAGGAATTTTGCTTAGCTCCTTCTGACATTTACTTCTGGTCACTGCTGTGGACTGGGAAGGACCTTCTATTTCTGCTAGTGAATTGGATGTTTATAGTGATAAGAATATCAACATTTCCTGGCTCCAACTTCAATTTCCTCTTCCTGCTGTCATAGCCTATTTCTGATGGTAACATCTGATTTCCATTCAGTGCCCAACACTTAATTTTATAATTCAAAGTCCAGGAACAGGGTATATTTTAGGTAATGTATATTTTACCGTACTTGAGAGAAAATCCAAAAGTAAAACTTATGATCAGAAGCCAAGGCAGGTAGGGGCAGCAGGAAGTGAGCTTACCTCGGCACTCTCCTCATCGCTGGGCACACTATCGGTAGTTTCGCTTTCTGTTCAAAGAGAAAAACACATCGTTCCTGTCACTCACTCAAGCTGTTCTGAGGCTCAGGCAGCATTTTCAAAAGATATATCAGCACTTATTTTTCTAAAGAGAAAGGGGTAACTAAACTCATCATCTCCCTCCAGTTGTAAGGTCGAACACTTCTGTGTGGAAGACATTAGATTTTTTAATTCTCTTATTTCCTGCCCCCGCCCCAAGAGGATGTAAACTTAAGAGTTGAGGGGAAGCTGACTTTTCAAGAGCCAGAGTGTGCTTACATAGGCACCACCTCCCATCATGGGACACCATCCCTGTAGCACTCTTTCTGCCCTGCAGCTCCATCCATGGAGGCCCACACTGTCCTCTTCCAGTGACTGTCAGTCACCACACAGACATCTTCCCAGACCATTCCTATCTAACCAGATCCTCCTTTCACCTCTGTCCTGTTAGGACTTTTGTCTTGGATTTCCAGAATTTCATCTTCCATCTGGGTTACTGAGGGCAGACAGATTCTAGGGTGGCACCCAGACCCTCATCTAGTGTTCACTTTCTTTAGGAACTTCACACTGAGCTTTTCTAAAAATTTTATTTTTTATTTTGAGATAGGCTTTCATTAAGTTGCTAAGTTGCCTGGGCTGGGTTTGAACCTGAAATCCTCCTGCCTCAGCCTCTGAGAGTGCTGGGATTACAAGTGTGCACCACCACATGCAGCTTGGGATCCTGTGACTTGCTTTTAACCAGCAGAATATAGAAAGATGATGGGATGCACATATTACATGCCAGTGATCATGTCATGAAAGACTGAACCTGTCTTTTGCAGAGATCCTCTTCCTGGCTGGCTCACATGGCAAAGAACCTAAGGACTGTTTCTAGGCAAAAGCCAGCAGGAAACTGAGGATCTTGACTCAACAACCTGCAAGAAACTAAATTCTGACAAAAACTATGGGGTGCTTGGGCCGGGGATCAGTGGTGCTGCCACCTGCCTCACAAGGGCGAGGTCCTGAGTTCGATCCCTGGTACAAAAAAAAAGAAAACACAGATGGTTGGAACTGTACTTGTCTCCACTTAAGCCTCAGGTGAAACCACACCTCTAGCCAACACGGGCCTGCAAGTCAGCAAGACTGCTGTAGAGGATGTAACAAAGCCTGGTCTTCTGAGCCACAGAAACTAAAGAATCAGAAATGTATGTTGTGTTAAGCCAGTAAGTTTGTGACTGCACTGTCATGTAGCAATAGATAACCGATCAGTGACCATCCTGATTCCATCTGCCAGCTGTAAGACACAGAGCAAGTTTCTTCACTGAGCTCCAGTTTACTCATCTGAAAAAATGGGGGTGTTTCTTATCCCCCCTCAAAGAGGATTACATGATGAGTAATTGCAAGGATGTCTGGGAAAGGTCCAGCACAGGCCCTGGCACCCAGTGCACACATAGATAATCAGCATGGGATTTGCACGACAGGGTGATTAACAGAGTCAAATTCAATAGCTAGTGATTACACATCACATGCACATATAATACAAGTATTCAGAAAGTTTTTCAGGATCCACAGCCATTGTAAATTGCACTGAGTATAGAAATTCCAAAATTCACAGGCTCTTAAAGATCATTTCTCCTGGGTCATTTATTCTAGAGCAAGGCTGAAACAGGAATTGTAAGTGGACATTCACGGAGCACTATGGGCCAGGCTGGGCCACAGTCTTGCAGGCAGCTCTGTCTAGCCCCCACAAGGAGGCTAAATTGGAAAGTAGCTACTACCATCCCCCAAAATGCAGAAGATAGTATGTTCTACAGCCATCTACCTTCTTCTGTCCTCTGTCTGCTGAGGGACTGACTTCTAGGCTCCCATCTTCCTGGTAGCAGAACTGGGTGGGATTAGAGCTCCAGCCCAGAAAGCACCCCCTTCTACCATCCAGAGTACTAGTTACACTATAAATTAAAGGCTAAAGAACAAATGGACAAACAATACCATAGGTGAACTCCATAAGAAAACGGCAAGCACATGGACTCCACAGGTTCCACCCAGGAGCACTGTGAATGCTGCTCAGCCACTATTCGGGGCTATACACAAGCCTGGGAGGTTGCCAAGGGCTGACCATGGGTTGTTAAAGGTCCATACTCCTCAGACAGAGCGTGCTTCCCGTAAGCTAGGAGTAACAGAGGCCCAGGGAAGGCATCAGCCTCAGCTCACAATGATCTGAGCTGTTAAGACAAACTGACAACACGAGGTCCAAGAAATGTCTCCAGATAGAAACAAAAGAACAACAGAAAAGGAAACCTCCCTCCAAACATCACCCCCACACTGGCTGAGACTCCAGAGGAAGCATGAACGCTGCTCCCAAGAAGAAACATGAGGAACAGAGATGTTGAGAAATCTGCCAAAGTCGCAGACTTGAGTCAGCACAGTAGAGAGAAAACAAAACTGCACTCCTGATCCCAGGGACCCACACCTCACGCAGGGACTCTGCTTCCCCACCGGCTCTGCCTCTGACAGAACTTCAAGATCCTCTTTCCATTTTTATGCTTAGCTTTGTTTGTGTTCTGAAGCTAAGGTTTCTCTTCCTTCTACACAGGCCAAGTCTCCTTCATTGCTAATGGCAATCCTTAAATACCATGGTCTTCCGTTCCTTTCTGTTTCAAATAAAAACAAACAAACCAGGCATGCTTTAGGGCCTGAAGATTTGGGTAAATGAACCACTGATACCACAATTCTGGGACTTAACCAAGTCCAATTTGCAGCTGCTGGGGGATTTGGAAATCAGATCTTCTTGGTGAGACCTTGCAAAAAGATAATAAGCACAATCAGAATGCTAATTTCCTCCAACTACCCAGTTGTCAACTTCAGGGAAAAAGTGGTTGGATAAGAAAGGATACACTTCTGAACTTATGTTTCTGGCTTACACAAGTGGTGGGTGAGGAGCATCCTTTCTAAATTAAGATCAACTGCTTCTGAAACAGTTACAAAGACTCTCCACATCAGAAAACTGTTGGAGGTTGGATCTTCAACATCCTCAAACAAAGGCTCCTATGTTGAAGACCGTGGTTGCCAGCCTATGGTTCTATGGGGTAGTGGGGTAGAAACTTCAGGAGGTTGGGCCAAGAAAGTTAGGCCATTGGGAATGTTTCCTAGCAGGGGTCATTGGGGCCCCGGCCCCTCCCTTCTCTCTTCCACTTCCCAGCTGGCCACCATGATGGGTGTAGCTTTGTTCCATCACACACTCTCCACCATGCTATTCAGCCTTGTCAAGGGCCCAACATGTAGGGGCCAAGTGACTGTGAACTGAAACCTCTGTAATCATGAGCCAGAGTAAAGCTTTCCTCCTTCTAAGTTGTTTATTTCAGATGTTTTGTCACAGCAATAGAAGGCTAACACAGTAAGGTTTCTAGCTTTAATTGTTTAAAAAGAAATAGCCTTGAGTGCCTTCAGCCTAGGAGAAGGAGATGGGTGTGACTCCAGTCCAAGAATCCCAGACCCTTCTGTCTAGACTATCATGGCTGCTCCTGAATGGTGGGTTCAAAGTATCCCTATTTCCTCTGTTCCTTTGGTTTTACTCCACCACTGCCATTTCTGAGATGAGGTCTTACATGACAAATGAGTTCACTGTAGCTGCTGTTTCCAGATCAATGTTACTGCTGAACTACTGCCCATGAGTATTTGTTTCGCTTTCCCTTTTAATTACTTAGGTTTGTTTGTTTTTTTTACTAACTTTGAATACAATAGAATAAAAAGAATGGAGCACTTTGCAAGCATGGTCTGAATAAGTTGAAAGTGTTGACACAGCAGTAACAGGTATATGTATAATTCATTTAATCTTTCTAGTCTGTTTCTGGAAGGCAGTTGGGGTGAGAAAGAAGGGAGCCATTTGAATCAGATGACCTCAAAAGTTCTTTTAGAGCCTCACCTCTGCTAGATTTAGCTTCACAATCCACTTCAGCCCAGTTTTTAATACCTCCCTGAGAATGTGTATTGTCAGAACTGTTATGGGAAAGCAGATGATACATTTTATGCAATGCATTTTTGTAAACAAATAAAGATTTCTTTCCATCAAAAATTCCTGAATTACTTCACTTGATGACTCAACTGAACAGTTCATAGCAGAGTCCTCTTAGTCTAAAAGCTAATGTATTTTTGCCCCACCCAACAACATGCAAGCCTGATATGGTTTGGATAATGATGCAAAGTCTTCACTAGTCAATAAAATGTCCATTCTCTCTACAATGATTAATTAATCCTTTGTATTATGCTTGCTGAATCTTCAAGCCTAGTTTCCACCTCCTCTCCTTTCAAATGTTATTGTGATTTTTATTTTTTACTAAACCATCAACAACCTAACCAAATCGTGGTACCACAGATCAGGCAATGGGCTACTCCAAGATAAACCTCCAAAAATAAAATGAGGGCTGGAGATGTAGAATGCTTGCTGGGTTAGGCCCTCAGAACTACAAAAATAAATAAGTAAATACAATAAAATAAAATGACTATCCCCTGGAGCTTCCCCTAGATAGGACTTTAGAACATTCTTTCTCTATATAAAAATTTTATAAATCCAATTAAAATTCTTAATTTTAATATTAATTTTAATATTGTTTTAAAAAATAGCCAGTGCAAGTAACCTCACTCAAAGAAACTCTTCCTCACCATGATATTTAATCACAGAGGAGAAGAAGGAGTTGCAAAATTTCTTGTGCTTCTACAATGCTACTGGGATTAGATTTCAATTAGTAGGGAGGAAAAAATAGCAGATGACAGTCTCCAAATAGCAGTTTCCTAAACAAGTGAATGAAAGTGGTTAGAGAAGGCTGGACTTTGGTTTGAATAGCCTGAACAAAGGAAGTCTGTTATGAAAAATAGGCAAATGGCCTATTCTGTTGGGGAACATAAAATAAGAGAGGTGAGCACAGAAAGCTGGCCTTCCTAAAAGAAAGCCATAAAATTCCTGACCAATAGACAAACCAGCCATGGTCAGTAACATCTAATTTTCTTCTGGGGCTGTAATTCTAGAAAAGTAGCAGGGCTCGAACATTTCAGCTCTTCCTCTAAGACTCCAAAAGATTCTGGAGAATTCAGACAATGAAAACAATGGAAAGAAACCAAACACCAGGCTCTAAGAAAGGCTCCTGCTGCCTGTCATCCTGGCACTGATCTTTCTTTAGAAATCTATACAAATGTCCTGAAAAGGTAACGAAATTTTCATTTCTCTCTACATGGATCAGCTATTCCCAGGATTTTTCTGTAGACGCAAACTGCCCCTGCTGATGGAACAGCAAGAGGAGGTCTTCCAGAATTTTCAAGACTTCAGAAAAGTCTTACTGAACAGATAAACATACTAGTCTGTACTAAAGCTCCACCCTCACTCCCAAACGCACACACACACCCTGAGTGTAATAATGCCAACAGCAACATAGCACAGAAGAACGTCCTGAGTTTTTAAGCCATAGCTACATAAGTACAAGTAAAATGGCTTAGTACTTCACATTTCCATGACCCCTACTGTAAAGTTAGGGCAAACATTCTGCTCTCCCTCCTTTGGTGAGGCCTTGTGAAAAATCAAGTGATAAAATGGAGTACTACTCAGCCATAAAAAATGAGAAATTAAAGACATTTATAGCTAAATAGATACACATTAAGGAGCTACTCTTAAGGGAAATAAATAGGACACACGTGTAAATACCAAATAGTTTCTCTAGTGTGAGAAACTAGAAGTGTAAATAAGGACTAAAAGGTATAATAGATAATGTGAAATAGGAAGAAAAGGGGCAAAGGGGAAGGGGAAGTGGGAGGGGTAAGGGAAAGGAAAGAAGGGAATGGAATTAATATGGGAAAATGAAAAAAATTGAAACAAAGTCTTCGTAAATAGGGAGGGATAGATAGCGGTTGAAGAGAGGGCAGGGGAATGGGGAAAAAATAAGAACCAAGAGAGTATGTAAAGGTGCACATCTCCAATGATGACTGTCATTATATTGTACACCTAAAATGTACCAATAAAATTAATAATAAAAAAAAGAAAAATCAAGCAAGATTGTGGGATGTTGATGTCCAAAGGCAGCACTACAGTGCAGAAGTCAAGAATAGGCCTTGGCCATAGTTACACACAGATTCTATCTGTGCTACCAGTTTTTCATGCCTGGACAGGCTGCTTTACCCATATCAGCCTTAGACTTCTGCTTCTAAAAAGGGTATAATGATGGTACCCTAGCTGAGAAGGTTATTTCTTCATAAATAAGCAAGTTAATCAATATCAAGCATTTTGCATAATTCTCAGAGCACAATAAACTGAATCTGTGTGTAATAAATAATATAGTTATTGGAAACTGGCTAAGACCCAAAAGAGAGCAGCACATATAAGAGTTCAAAACATGTTTGACAAATGAACAACTAATGACACGCTTATCTTGATTGACAAGATCGTAACCTTCCTGTAGCCAAGGTGCTTTCTCACAGTCCTTTTATGTTCCCAAAATAAAATCAAGTTAGGGTGCATGGTGAGTGAAATTAGACCTATTTAGAGTGGCCAGATTCACTGAGACAGAAAGTAGGCTGACGGTTGCCAAGGCTGGGGCAGAGGGGAAAAATGGGAAGTGACTGTTTACTAGGCACAGTTTCAGTTTTGCAAGACAATTAAGAGTTCTGGGGACAGATGGTAGCGACCACGGTACAACACAAATGCACTTAACGTCACTGAAGTGTGTATTTAAAAATGGCAAATTTTATGTTATATGTACTTTTACCACAATTAAAAAATAAATTTGTAAAAGAGTTGGCATTCAGGGAATATGAGGTTAATCTAGAGGCTGGCAATTTACAAACAAGCACTCATGTGAACCCATTCTAATTGTCATGCGGGCTCAGTGCCAGTCACCGGGTGGCCCCTAACTGGAGGACATTCTGTTTGGCCACTGTAAGAACACTGGGAAACATCCCTGATCCATTTACTAGAGCTCACTGCAATTTTCTATGATAGGGGCTCTGCTTTTTATTCTTAATATTTACAGGCAATAACACTGAGTCAGAATTTACATTTCCTCATTATAACTGAATTTCAAAAAACTACGTGGAGATTGTCAGAAACAGAGTGTAAAATGATATAATGTTGATGGAAAAGGGAGCCATCATTTTCTGAATCTGTTTCTAATACTGTGACTCTGTCTGAACCAATTCCTGCAATTATGGGGCCAACTCCCTAGGGAATTAGAAAGTGACTGTCACCTGGCCCAATTAGAAGTTGTACTAAATAGAAAGAAAGTGAGAAAATATGTGGAAGTGAGAAGTAAATCTAGTGGAATGGAATGGATTTAGCAATGATATTGGGGATTGAAAGCTGAGTTCCGGTCTTGGCCCAAACACACACTGGCTGTGTGATGAAGAGCAAGTCCTTCTATGCTCCAAAAGAAAAGAACTAACCAGAAGAGATGATTTCCAAGATTCTATCCAACTTCATAAATTTGAGATTCTACTAAAACACTCTGCCAGACATGCTTTAATTTATACGAATAAATTGTACTCTGATGCACCACTTTCCCCAAGAAATCTTATTTGCTAGTTATGAATGAACATGGTACGGGCAATCAAGGAAAGAAATGCTGTGATGATGTTTTCTAACTGAGAGCAAAGGTGTTCAAGAAGACGTTGGTCAAGAAAAGAAAGAATAACACCAGCAAAAATAATTCCTGGGACAGAAGATTCTTCGTTGTGTAGTGACACGGGGTGACACTAGACTGAAGGGTGGCCCTGACCTGTTCCCCACTCAGTCCCCATGGTCTCCTCCTGCCCACTTACCTGCGTAGGAAGACACAGGGGAAATCTGCAAAGGGTAGAGCTCACTCATGCTGACCGGCTGCTCATCACTCTCGGTGGTCACCTCTACAACTTGACAAATGTCTGGCGGATTAGTGACAATCTCTTGATCTTCAATGTTGCTGTCCAGATGGGACTGTCCTACAACTTCAAAGAAAAGGAAGCCATCATGCACCAAAGTTATCTGACCTCAGTTTCCAGAACATACTTTCACAAAAGAAAATCTTCAACAGACACAGATCCTGGCTGCCACATGTCACCTGCCAGGAAGTTGGAAAACAAACCTGAGTTGTAGGTTAATGTCTCGAGAGAAATAGCTTGCAATAACTGGGTTCCTGAGGTCTGTCCCCAGGATGTCTTCCAGTGATGCATCCTGTTAGCAATGTTCTACCCCGTGCAGCAGAATCTCAAACTCAACGCAGTGACAGGACGGCTATAGGCTGCATCCAGACCTAGCCCCAAGCAAGGTATGACACTGCTTTGAATCTGACCTATTTCTGTTTTCTGCTCTTGCTCTGAAAGAAGGTGCTGCTGTGCTCATTTTCTGCATTCTATGGTCTAGAGAGACATTACTGAATGAATGTTAATGAGGAGAAAAAGTCATAAAAACCTACTTCATTGTATTATTTCCAGCAGTAAGGGGCTGTATTCATACTCTCAGTCTTCTTCTTGCTCAGAATATGACTAAGTGGCCAAAAATCAGAACAGTGGAATAGTCAGGTTCCCAATTCTAACAAATATTAATTGCATTTACTTTCCAGAACACCAGTAAGATGAATTCGCACTAATTCTGGCTCTGAATCAGCTTCACAATTTTTAATTAAACTTTTTATTTTGATACACTTGTTAACTCACACACAGTTACAAGAAATAATAGAGATTCTGTGTGCCTTTTACTCAGTCACATCCAATGATAACATCTTTCAAAACCAGAGGCCAAAATCACAACCAGAATGGTGATGTTGATAAAAATCCCCCATCTGGTTCAGATGTCTTCAGTTTTCCTGGTACTTCATTCTGTGTGTATGTATGACCCTGAATTTAGATCTATGCAATCTTGTCATACAGCAGTTTCATTTGCCTACCACCACAGTCAAAATACTGAAGAGTTCCACCACCAAAAGTACCTCTCATGTTACTCCTTTGTAACAACACCACCTTTCTTAGTACCTCCCCATCCACCTGCTTGTCCCTAATCCCTGCCAACCATTAATCTGTTCCATGTTTCTGAATTTTTGTCATTTTCAGGATGTTACATACATGAACTAAAACAATAACTCATTGGCTTTTTTCACTCTGAATAATTCCCTGGAGAGTCATCCAAGTTGTTGAGTGTATCAATAGTTCTTTTTTTTTAATTGCTGAGTGGTATTCTATGGTATGGATATAGCTCATCTGTTGAACTATTCATCCACTGAATGACGTCTAGATTGACACCAGTCTTTGGCTAATACAAATAAGGCTTCAATTAAAGTCTGTGTTCGTGCTTTATTGAACATAAGTCTCCATTTCTCTGGGGTAGATGCCCAAGAGTGCAATGGCTGACTCATATGGGAATTGCATGTTTAGTTTTACAAGAAACCAGCAAACTCTTCCCCAGTGGCCCTGTCATCTCATATTCTCACCAGCAAAGTCTGAGTTATCTACTCTCTGTATCTTCACAAGTATTTGGCACTGTCACTATTTTTTATTTTAGCCATTCTTATAGGTAAGCAATGAAAGTCTAGTGTGTTTTGAATTTTTCCTGTCCTAATTTTAAAGAGAACTAACTTTACACAGCTGCTGGCAGTTGAGTGCATGAAATGTCCCTGAAAATTGGCTCCAATGAATAAGTCAGATAACAATATGTTAATAACAATGTTTTCTCCAGGTTCTCAAAGTACCTTGCCACCATTATCAATGTTAGACTCACATGGGTACAAATTATTATAACATTTCAACCCATGAAAATGACAAGGAAAGCAACATTATCTTGCTATTTATGGAGAAGCTTGAGCACAGAGAGGTAGAGTGATTTGTCCAAACTCACACAGCTTGGATGCTGTGCAGTGCTCTATGCTCCTGTCTTGTTCTCCCCTTCTGCAACTACAGAATGTTCAGGTGAGGCCACAGGGACCACATTTCCAGGCTCTGTGAGAGACCAGTCATTATGGGTGAGTTTTGCTCCAACCACTCAAAATATTTCATTGCCTGAAGTATTTTTGTTTATGAGGAAGTTCCTGTTTTAAATGCTTGAAGAGGGGAAATGAAAATATTACTTGATTTTGACCCAGGAAAGGTCTCAGAGGATAGTAGGAATTCAGAGGTCCATCAGTAAAGAAAAGAAGGAACAGAAGAGGCTGGAAAAGAAGACTGGGATGTGATAAGAGAGTCTACAAAGCCACAGCACATAGAATGGAAAGGAAATCGGATGCTGTTTGGGTTTTTTGACAAGGATATAATTACATAAAAGGAAGGCAGGCTATATATGGCAGGTGGACTTCCAAATTCTTATTTCATCCTTTGGACTATCCTATTTGAGTGTGAGGGCATCAGTAATGCAGTTCACTGGACTTGGGCTGAGTGCTGACATTAATCTCTCTCAGGTTTCTTCAGCTTTTTCTCCCCAGTAAATAACATGGCAGGAAAACAAGATAAAGTCCTATCTTACCCCAAGTCCTAAGAAGCAATCAGTGAGTGCAGACAAGAAACCAAGCTCTCTCTCTCTCTCTCTCTCCCCCCCATATATATATATATATGTCTTCTGAATAAACATGAATGAATGAAAGGCTAAGGTCATCAACCATCAACTGGCACCAGAGTCCTGCAGGAGTTCATGACAACTGGCAAACATGGCACTTAATGTTTCCCAGAAACATTCAAGGCTTCTGGCAAATGGGATCTTTTAAATCTAGATAAAGTGATAAAGACACAGTATGCTATGTTGTGGCCATGGAGGTTAGGAGAGAAAACATTTTAGGGTGATGAAGACGTTCTGTCTTGAATATGTTGGTGGCTACACAACTGAGTGCACCTGTCAGTACTTACAGAAAAGTATACCTGAAAGGGATTAATTTTTACCATGTTTCACTTGATATACATGGCCTCAGACCAAAAAAGCATGTAAGTACCTGTACCTCTATTCAAATTTCAAGTGTATCCTGAAGGCTGGTGATGAAGACAGAAAAGTTTCTGTCTTCTTTGCTAAGAACTAGACACCCAGTGTATAAAACTAACTGACAGCTGAGGCCAGACTTTCCCACAGGAGGGTGTTGCTTTATGCCTTGGTAAGGAATGGCCACTTTTCTCCATCTGAAGACTGAGAGCGCTTTAGAAACTCTCAACTTTCAAGCCAAAGCCTACAAGTGAAGCAGAGTGATGCCATCATTTGAGATGCTTTCTGGATGTGCTTCCACACTGTTACTAATCTGTCTCTGTGTGTGACACTCTTCTGGGAGTTAGACAGTAACCTGACTGATAAATAATAGCAACCAGACGAACTTTCTCGCTTTCTTTCTGATCACATAACCTCTTCCTAACCACCACCCTCCTAAAGACCCTCCCAACCCTAGAAGGAAGGCACAACTATGGTCCCTATTTTAGACACAATTCAAGTTCGAATAGTCAGTAAGTGGCAGAGCCAGGATTCAAGGCCAGCTTTACCTGACCCCAAATTTCAAACCTTTTGTGAGATAGTCTCCATAAGAGAAAATTAATGAAGTTCAAACTGAGCTACCCTTGACTTTCCAAGCCCCTCTCAGGATGAAAACTTTCAAATCTCACCTTAATGAATCTTTGGTCTCATAACCAACAGTGAAATTTCTTTTCAATAGTTCTCTATTGAGTGCCAAGGAAATTCTCAAATGGTTAGACGAGCTAGGAATCTGCCCAGCTCCTCCAGCTTAGTAAGGTCAGCACATCCTGAAAGTCACCCAAAGGAGTGTAATTTTATCTGAAGCTAGTTGTTAAGAATTACAATATTATTCATGGCTGGTAACTGATGGACCAGTTTGATTGCTTCAAAGGTCAATCCTGGTTTATTAACAATTTTTGACTCCATGTAGGGCTCCACTTGAGAAAGCAGGCTGCTCCCATGCTCGGAGAAGTGCTTAAAAGCAGAGCTTATTAAACATAGAGTGGCTTGGGCCTGTCATATGAGAGTTGAAAAGCTGAACCATAGAGGCCAGGTAAATTACTAAGGTCACCCAAGTAGCTGCAGCCAAGAAGTAAACCTAATAGCAGCGCGTACAAAATCAGACCACCAGCTTCAAACCATAGGGAGAAATTTCTCCTTGACCCTGAGACTTTAAGTATTGAAACTGTTAATACCAGCCCTGATAACACAACACAGGTGGAGGCTACTTTTTTTACTCAAATATACTTTTTGATAATATAATTATAATCATATTATTTTACTACTTTCTAACCAAAGAACAATTTACTTGTATATCTCATTTGATCCTCACAACTCTGTGAGGTGGGAAAGATCAGTTTATTATTTCCATTTTATATATGAATTATATATCATATATATTATAAATCTTATATAATATATATCTTATGTATAATTCATATATAAAATACATATATAATTATAAGTATGAAATCATGTTTGCATATAATTTAAAATATATTTGTTTTATAAATAATATATGTATTACTTCCAATTTATATATAAATTGAGTCTCAGAGAGTTTAGAGAAGTTTCCCTAAAATCATACGGTAAATAGAAAACTTCAAAAATAGGTCCTGAACTCAAGTTCTTTAACTTCTGACCCAGTGCTCTTGTCTTTGTAAGAATAGACAAGATGTGTATTTTATAAAATACAGCCACTGTTGGTTTGGAGTGGTGGTGGGAGAGATGAGACAGGCATGAGGGGTCATTGCGTTCAGGGACAGGGAAGGGTCCACCTTGGTGTGGTCCAGCTGCAGGTGCTCCCGCCATCCCAGGTGAGACAGGTGCAGGTGCAGCGGGTACTTTCACCCCATTAGAAAACAGCATTATGCACCGCACCAAATGGAGCCAACAATATGTCTCAGTAAAAACTCAGTAGAGTTAAGGAGTTTCTCAGGGTCAGCGACCTGGAAGCAGAAATCTGGGTAAACCATTATGGTTCACTTCTCAATGGAACTGCTGGATCCTTGGTGGATGCTCCACATTCTCTACA